CTTTAACTACTACAATGGCATATAAAGATCAATATATAAAAACTTTACCAGAAATACCAGATATCTATGTAGGATCACCTTGGAGGACAGGAAAAACATATGCTTTAGAAAAATTAAATACCCCCCAAAATGTAAGCATGCTTGTAGTGTCAACGCGACATTCTTATTCTAATGCTATTACTACAAGACTTAATCTTGAATCATATTGTGATATCGATGGTCCTATACACCTATCAAAACATCAAAGAGTGGTATGTCAAGTAGAGAGTTTGCATCGAGTAACAGATAAATGTGAATGTCGTGAAAAATGCAAGTGTCCAAAAACCCCTTATATATTAATATTAGATGAAATAGTATCAATTATTGCTCAAACTGAAAGTTGTTTTAAGGGTGCATACTTATCTCTTTCCAATTTCTTTGAATTGATTTATAATGCAAGTCGGATAATTGCGTTAGATAATGATCTTACTGATTGTAATATTGAATGGATTAAAACACTCCGACCCAATAAAACATTCACAGTAATTCATAATATATATCAACCCCAAAAAGATAAAACATTCCGCTTGGCCCCTGATAGAGAAACTGTATTAACTGAGTTATGGGATTGGGGTAAACAAATGTCATCATTACCTTTCGAAGAGCAAAGAAGTGCATCACTTATCTGTCATGAAAGAAGAGATGTACAAGGTATTGTTCGTGGCCTTAGAAATGATTTCCCAGAACTACGTATCAAAGAATATTATGGTGGGTCTAATCCTGTAGAGAAAACTCAAGATTTTAAAAATGTAAAAGAAGCATGGAAAGAAGTGGACCTTGTTGCATACACCAGTACATTAAAAATAGGAGTTTCTTGTACCTACTCTAAATTTGAGCGAGCATTTTGTTTGTTCACTAGCTATATAGAAACCAATGCTGGAACGAATCAGATATTATTCCGTATGCGATGCATTAAGGATTATATATGTTATATCCAACAAAGGGCATCTAGAGCCCCAACCACAGAAGAGGAGTTGTTTCAATAGTTAACAGAAGCAAAACGCGAATGTCTCCCCAAAGAACTTCAGAATAAGGGGGTATTTCCAAATATCGAGACTATTATTAAAAATAAAGATGTACCAACCATTCAATTATGGGTGGCCTTCATGTTAGAAAAATTTCGATCTCAACGGCTATTTGGTTGGAGAATGGTTGATTTTCTTAAAAAGGCAGGTATGATAGTTTCTATAATGGAGTCAATCCCTAAATCTGAAAATAATGATGCATCGTTATCAAAAGCAGTAAGAGTGTCTTCCTCTATTGTTAAAGCAGAAGAGATTTCAGATATTGCTAATGCCGATATTCTCGATTATGAAATGGCTGAGCATCTTGAAAACAGCTCCAAAAAAAGTTTAAATGAAATACATGCTTTAAGGCGATACCATATAGCAGAGTGTTATGAGCATCCATCCGAATCTTTAACCGAGGAGTTTATTGCAGAATATGGTAATCCCAACCATATGAAGTGGTTTAGAGCTTTCCGAAAATTGCGTGATGCTGGTATTAATAATGAGACAGCTGTTGAGGCTATTACACGTGAAGATTTTAGAGATGATAAACTTACAACTGTCACTCGAGCTGAGAAACATCGAATTTGCCTAGAATTATTGAAAACGTATACGCCTGTTAAAGATATTGATGATCAGGATAGATATACAGCTGATATTGTTAAATCATGTTTAGAATCATCTAAGTCTATGAAGTATCTCCAAGATTTAGTACCAAAAATGGCCTGAGTTTTTGATAATACAGACGCGTCTCGTAGTGCTAAAAAATCTGGATTAAAATCAGATAAAGCGAAACTTGGTTTATTAAATTCAGCACTTTCCGCAACTTATAGGATAAAGTTTAAAGCTACTAACAATAAACGAATCCATTATCATCTAGTAGGTCCATTCGATAAAGAAAGCGCCCCAAAGTTGCCACCATACCAAACGGGAGAAGGTCCCTTTTATGAAAATGGAGAGGATATACATTATGGATATAGTAAACTTTCACCTGATGAAATAGAAAACTCCCCCAATTCTATTTCACAAAATACTCAGAACCTATTTGATATCTGTTAAAATGAGTATTTATTCGATGAGGATCCATGATATATCTTACAAAGGGGGTTTTTGTGTCGCTTAAAAAACACGATTGGAAAAATTTGACCCCATGGCTATATTATATCACAGAAGGGATTTTTGTGTCGCCCAAAATGATATATACTAAAAATTTATCTATTACCTTGCAAGCCTTTAGGTGATGAATTGGAAATTCGAGGTTTTACCTCTTCTTCGAATCATGAGCTTATTTCGGGAGAAATGACACTTCGTGCCTCCAAGCATGGGAGGAAAAAGCGTAATTAATTTCGATTTAGAAAAATATTTTTATAGTGTATATAATCTAAAGAATTACTCATAACCTATTCGACCTACTATTAGATCATGTCAGCCATCGCAACTAAAATCGTTGAAAAATACAACCTTACCTCTAAAACGAGTGTGTCTAAACTTAGTCAATACACCTCAGAGTTTCTCGAGAATCTCACAGATGATAGAAAAAGAAATCAAGCACGAAGGCGTCTTCGGGATGGATTCAAATTTAGCAATGAACAAGTAAGTATATTAATACCTAATCAAAGAAGTGGTAAAGCTAAAGTCAAGCATAAAGTGCCCTGCTCTACAGTAAATCTTGCTGAAGTTAGTTATAGAACAACTACACCCTCCGATAGTTTCTAAGTTCCCGACTTAACTCCACAAAATTCAGAAGAAACTATCGGAGAGATGGTGCATCAATTTTTACGGGATAAGCTTAATATTAGGGATATAAGAGCTGAAGCTTATGCCTTAGTCCTATCAGCATTAAATGCTAATGCTGGTTCATCGCGTCTTTCATAACTCAGAAGAGAATTAAGAAATCTCGGTGTTTCATCTGAGATAATCGATGCTACAAAATTTCCTGAAATTACAAGAGAAGCTAATGAAATCCAGCAGAATCGACGGAAATTTGTTGAGGCATTCGAAAGAATTGATTATCCAGATTATTTTACATTAGAATCAGTTAAGGAAAGATTAGATAAATATGATATTTCTACTCCGCCCGATTTACAAGCTCTTGCAGATGTTATGATAATGCTTTCTATACGCCCCGCTGAACTTACAACTTTACGCATTACAGACTCTGGAGTGGTGGGTTATACGAAGAACCGAGGCCAGCCAGATATACCTAGAAAATTTAAATCTATGGAGAAGAACCAAGAACGAGCTAAAGGACTACTCACTTGGGTACAGAATGCTATTTCTTCTGGTCGAATGGGTGATCCAGGTAAGCCAGGAGTTAAGTGGTTCAATAGATTCTTAAAAGACTATGATTTAATTCCTAAATATTTACGTAAATTAGGAGCTGTATATGCTGTAGTGATGCATGGAGCGCAAAATTTAGCACATGCTATGACAATCGCTGGAGAAGCACTTCACCATAGTGTTGACAACCATACTTCTTCTGTGCAAAATTACGTTGTAGTGAATTATCGGAAAAAAGGGCAGACTCCAGAGCAAGCAAGACCATTCTGCCTTTATGATGATAACTAATCACGCTTCTTTGCTTCGAAAACTTGTGTACGTATTTCATTCTCATCGATGCAAGAA